TTGTTTGTGTTTGTTTTTGTTTTTGTGTTTAGGCATGATAACTTTCTTAGCTATGCATACACTATAGAACTCTTTGAAATTCAACAAAAATATCAGAACATTTCCACCAATTATATTAATGCTGGAAAGAATGTCCAGATATTGCGTAATTCAGTTCCTTACTTTTGGTAAAAAAAAAAGGCATCGGCTGATGCTGAGCTTGAGGACAGGGTTGTGAGGGTGTGGCCGACTTTCCTTCCAATCACAGTCCAGCTCTCCATCATGAGCACACAGCACTCTCCTGATAAGTGCTGTGAATTGATTTTTGAAGCTACATTAATATACATAAAGTGTTTAGAACAAGGTGATGTATATATAATAGGCACTATGCAAACATTAGCCTTTATTATTATTGTATGTATAGTGGTGGACTATTATAATGTTATACTAGTATGTAGAATCACTCACTCATTTGCTCATGGCCATGGAGTTGATTCTGACTCATCGTAACCCTATAGGACAGAGTAGAACTGCTCCTGTGAGTTTCCAAGACTGTACATCTTTTTGGGAGTAGAAAGCCTCATCCTTCTCCCAGTATTTAGAATAGTATGTAGAAAATATATACATTATTTAAAGGTTGAAGGAAGTTGGGAAGTTTAACAAAAGAAGCTGAGAGGGAGGACAAACATGTTGCATCTGTGTGCATGTGATGAGGGGAGAGGAGGGGATTAGAGGGGAAGCAAGGGAGGAGGCAGGTGGCCATGATAACTGGGTAAGTCACTCCAGTCTGAAAGCCTGTCATTTGGAAAAATGAAAAAATGTGTTGCCTGGAATCCCACGTTAGTCTAGTATCTGTAGTTGGAAATTATATCAGGACAGAATCTATACCCTGTTCAGGGCAATGGGAAGAATAGTTGATAATAATAATTTATAATCTATCAGGGACCAATGAGGATGGGAGGGTAGGGGAGGTAGGACAAAAAGAGGAGCTAAGACCACAGGCCCAAGCAGGAAGAAACTGTTTTGAAAATGATGAGGGCAACATATACACAAATGAGTTTGATACAATTGAGGTATGGCTTGTTATAAAAACTGTAATATCCCCCTATCAGATTATTTATTAATAACCAAAGAAAGAGATGTACTTGGGAATCACCCCAGGGGTCCAATCCCTGAGTGTGACTTCATCCCGAGGTGATTTGAACAAGTCAGGGACATCTCTGGCTCATTTTCCCTCAACTTTAAAAGGTAAAGAACAGTATTGCCTATTTGGTAAGCTTATTAGAAAGGTTCAATGAGCAACTCTATGTACAATGCTAAAAACAATGTCTGGAATATAGGGGGCTTCAAAAAAAGTGTAGGACAATTCAGCTAAGTTCTAATTCTTTTCCACAAACTTTTTGAAGCCCCAATGTATACTGATCACTCCGTACTTTAAATGTTATAAGCCTTAAAGGGGATGTTTCAGGTAATGAGTTGCTTCTGAAAATGCGGAACGTCCAAGGAAGGGGTGAGTTCAGTACCCACGATGGATTTCATGGCCACACATTCATGATCACCCTAGGAATATTCCTGTGGCTCGATAAAGCATATCAACTGTCAGCCAATATTTCCTTCCCAGCTCTTCACTCTGATCTTCATTGTTTCTTTTCTACTGGCATAACTGTTTGGCTGGCAATTCAATGGGTACCCAAAGGAAATGGCACAGAGAAGGTGCTGATTTTTATGGGTCAATAGCTTGAGCTTTCAGGGAAATGTAGATGATTCAAGTGATGGGGGGAGGGGAAGAAAGATAGAAAGCATAAACCAGAGGAGGAATCCCCCAGACACAGACCAAAATAAAGGATTTCCCAGGCTAGGAAGTGTGACGTAAGAGGGGAAAGTGTGTGTAGCTGTTGTGGCTCCTTGCAAGTAAGGTTCTGTATGTCCACCAAGCCACTTCCTGGGAGAGGTGGGGTGACAGTCAAAGGTTCCAGCACAGGGCTATGTTGAGGCTGAAGGGGAACTCAGTGTCCTTTCCTTCTGCAAGGGCACAGCAGGAGGAGAAAGGAAAAGGGTCTGGTCAATGGGAGTGGGGCAGTCCACTTGTCCCCATGACCGAGGACAGAAGGACTGACTGTCGCAGCAGGTGGCGGCATGAAAAGCAGACAGTGAGGCTTAGATGTTTTCTCCAAACCATGTGCCTCGGGTTTACGAATAAGACACGCCAGGGGACTTGAGAAACTTCCTAGGAAAATTCGACCATCTTTTAATTCCATTTTTCCATAAAATGTTGAAGCCCCCTCATCATCCCCTAAAGGCGAGGAATCCAAAGTAGGCTGTAAGGTGTGTGACCTATGCAGTTGCCTGTGATTCCTTGCTCAGAAGACTCCATTCAGCTTAGTGTTCAGCTCTTGTCACCTGTGTTTTAATACCTCTGAAAGTTGGGGCCCATTTTTATTTTCCATCGGTACCTGCAATTATTAAGTCACCTCTGTTGGATTTCTGTGAATTTCCCTCAACCAAAGCAGAAAGTGAGCTC